ATCGGTATCGGCGAGTACTCAAACTGAAGTACTCGTACTTGTACTCAGTCTTGAAAAAACTGGTATCGGGACACCCCTAATACAAACAAATGGAATTTAAAATGCATTAATTAATACAACTGGTATTGTAATTTTACTTTGATTGCAGCAGGGTCATCAGCAGGTGTAGATTACCCCTTCACAATATTAAATAATTGTATTTCTCATAAAATAAGCTTAAATAATTACTGCAGAACATGATAATTTTTTTATCTGATTACTTGATTAATCGTCAGAATAACTGATAGATGAATCAGTTACTAAAATAATTGCCCTAGGCATGTGCAAACATCAAACTGCTGTAGACACAAGAAAATCTGTGCCTCCCAGATGATGTCAGCACAAGCAGATGGTAAATGCCAACCATATGAGGAGAAAATGCTGATCATTTGCTGGAGGAAAAATATTTTTTTCTTTTACTCTGGTTTCTTGTAGAAAAATAGGCCAATTGTTGGCGTCATTACTGGAGCCGACAACATCTTTAATACTGAAAGCACTGAATGTTTCCCTGAAACCAGTTCTGGATAGAAGCTGATTAAACCAATTAAAAAAAACAACTTTTTTACACACTTAGCATGGCAAAAATATGAGGATAAAAATGTAAGTAAAACTGCTGCTAGTGGTAGGCAAGCTGGTTAATTAATAAGTTAATACAAAACACAAAAACATCTTGTCTTTCCTACAATTAAATCAGATTTACCACATTTTTGACAAATATCAAGTAGAGTTTCAGTAAAATGCCCAGACTTCCATTACATGACACTGTGTGCGTGTGTGAGCATATTTTTGCTACATGGTGGGAACCAATTTCCAGAAAAACGCAGSCTCGTGGGGATCAAAGCCCCATCTGCACAGGTACAGATGCTGATTTCAAGAGGTTCAGTTTAGGACCAAGTTCTGAATTGAGTTTAGGTTAGTTTTAGGGTCAGGTAGGAACCTGTGAGGGTTCTGTTAGGGTAAATGGTCAGGGTTAGGATATAAAATTACCAGAAAATTAATGGAAGTCAATCCATGGTCCCGACAGGAATATAAAAGCAAACCGGTGTGTGTGGGTCTAATTTGAGGAGTCCRTCTGGACATGACTAAACTGATGACTCCCCTCCACTGCCAAAGTACACAACAGCAAGACTGTGATTAACATCATGTCCATTTATTCACAAGAAGAAAATAAATAAAGCAAAGATTTCTTGTTAATGAAGTGAAAAAAGTCAACTCACATGAGCTCATAGTTCCTCCGAATGCTCTCTGGGATATTGGGTTTAGTGACACGAACAGCCTGTGGAGCACAGAGTTGAAAAAAAAAAACTGAGGATGAAGAATGAACTCCACATAAATGCAATGACTAAAAGAAAAGCAAATCATTTTCACTAGTGAGGAAATTGTTGGAAAGAAGACTAGAAATTGAGCTTAAAAACTGTTTTTACAGCTAAAAACCATCTGAACACCAAAACTATTAACTTCTCAGAAACAAACAATGTATGTCTATTGATTCAAGAGGGATATGAGAAACACAAAAACAAGAATAGTCATTTAATGTCCTAGATTTAAATAAGCTCCAGTGTGGGTGTAGAAAAACAGAGAAAACAACATGGGAAAACAGCCTAATGTTTAGTGAAAAAGCCTCAGAATCTTGCCTTATAGTAACTTTTCTATAAAAAGTGTTTCAAAAATGCCCCAAGAGGGTTACAAATTCTGAGAAAGTCTAGAAGACATAAAAACGTTAGGAAAAACCACAGACTGGCTTTTACAAGTTCTCATTATTATTGAAAACTTTACAGCTTCAGTTCTGTCCTGGTGTGTGTTTCTGAGTATACCCGAGAGGAACACAAAAATGTCCCAACTTCAAGCAGAAGAAAAYACACAATCAGGCAAACAGCAAAGATTTAGTTACAAACTGACTGGATTACATTTTGTGTTTTTTTTATTTACCAACAAAAGAACAGCCAGTCAGTAAACCATCAGAGTAATGAAAATCCAAAGTAGGAAATCCCTCACAACAATTTTTAATATGTTTTTTATTAAAAATAAACAAGTTTGTAGTGAGGTGAAAACACTGGATAAAGATGTTTTTCCTTGGGATAAACGAAAAAAACAGTTCAATGAAAGGACATGTAAGAACATGAAACTGTTAGCCTGGCCCTCGCCTTCCTACACAGTTCCACTCAGTTTCCTTTACTGCTCCGTCTGGGATTTCTCCCAGAGACAAGGATCTCTTCAGGAGAATTTCACCTGGGCCAATCAGCAAACAGAAGGTGGAGTTTTGAACGATGCTGATTTTCTGCACAGTGGCTAGTTAGTTTAGCATATGGCAGTGGAGGAAGTGAATGAAGCCAGTCTGTGTTAAGGCTTCCAAATTAAAGAGTAACTTACCACAAAATTAACTTTTTTTAGCTGATAAACTGTCTAGAATGTGTCTAAAATGTTATATAGTACTGTTTCTGTGCTAATTTTGATGTTTTTGTGHRTATTTGTTCWAATYTGTAAYATTWGGTCTAAAAACGTCTTTTTGCTGCTCATATGGGTAGAGCAGTGGTACTGCAGGCTAATTTGCATATTGGTTAAATGGCTCTCCACGGTTTCGTCACAGCGGCTGTGTTGTTTTATAAAAGCCTCTCTCTAAGACACGCCCCTGCAGCAGTCACGGGTTGGAGGTGTTAGCATAGCATGAATGATCGTCTGGTCTGTTGACTCTCCTTCAGCCTAGGGTGCTGCGCTGCTCACTCACTCTCACACTCTCACACTCTCACACACTCACACACTCACACACACACACACACACACACACACACACACACACACGTTTGTTTCTTGGCCCCGTGGGGACCTTCCATTGACTTCCATTCATGTTTTTTACACTTTATAGCCTAACTCTGACCATATACTCTAAAGAAGGGGTGCCCAACCAGTCGCTCGCGGGCGACTGGTCGCCCGCCAGCTGATTCCCAGGTGCCCGCGCAGCGCAACCATGCTGCGGAGCCTCTATAGTCGGCTTTGAGTGTCGCATCCCGGAATGGCTGGTCTTGTTTGAAAGCTCTGGTTCTGCCCTTTAAGGTGAATGTTGAATGAAGTCCTTGCGACGTTCCCCCGTGGAGASATAAGTGAAAAACCTCCAAAATTATGCACCGTCGGACCTCCGCTGGGGGTGGTTTTAGCCCCCCTCCCTGGACTAGGAGCATCGGATCCCGGAGTGACTGGTCAGGTTTTAAAGGTCTGGTTCTGCCCTAAAAGCTGATATGTGAATGGAGTCTCTGTGACGTTGCAACGTGGAGCTATAACCAAATTATGCATGACTTAGTGCATTTTACTCGCATTTTTGGGAGGAWATTTCAACATTCGTTTGCTTCTCCCGTGGGCTCTGAGCATCGGATCCGGGAAAGTGAGAAGAATTTGGAAAGCTGCGGTCCTCATTTACAAACTGGAAGTGGTTGCAAGTTCCTGGGATGCTATTAACCAACGACCGGCCGAAAAGGGCGTTTTGATGGGCGATATAGTACTCAACTTACTCCGGAGCCTCTAGCGCCGGCTCTGAGCGTCGGGTCCGGGCGGGAGACGGCTCATTTTAATGTTCTGCATTTTTGCTACAACCTGGAGGTAGTTACTGGGATGTTCYCACGCGGTGATATAAGTGATAAAATGTAGTTGGGCAAGCTCCGGCGAGTGAAACGGCTGATTTCCAGCACGGGGCTGCTGGTGCTGATGCAGGGGAATAAAAGGAAGAGATCTAGTGAGGTCCAGCACCCACTCTTCCGCCTGGATTCAGCCAGAAACCCCTGGTGGCCGACATTTCTGCAAAAATGCATAAAATTCAGAAACCCACCTGATGGATCTGTTCCAGGCAATAAAAGGAACAGATCTGATCAGGTGAAACCAGTCCTGGAAGCTCAGCACCGGGTTTTATAAAACTCCCTAGCAGGCGGCTATATCGTGTGCTTTGATTTTGAAAAAAAAAAAAGGGCGGCACTCTTGTGGTAGCCATGTTGAACCTGATAGATAGTTTTTTTGTTTTGTTTTTCCTCCCCTGTATGGAGAGAAGAGAGAAGAGAGGAGAGTTCTTTGAATAAATGGAGCCGAGTTCCCGTGCTCCAGAGTTATTTGACTCTGGTTCTCAGTGTGCATGTTTTCAGCCCTGGTAGCTCACACATTACAGTGAGTATAATTTGAAGGAGGTAAAAAAAATTATACTTTTTGTTCGAGCATCTCTTTTATGTTTCTCTGTCAGGAGTTAAGTAAGGATTTTATCTCTTCTTTTTATTGTGGGTAAATATATGGTTACGTAGATAGTTTTGATTGACAATACTTAAATTAAATAAAACTAGAGAAGTTGCATTTCCTACGAAAATGCAAGTGTGAATGCCATTTGCGCAGAACTATAGCAGAAATAG